GCCGATCACGGTCGCTGTCCCGATGGTAACTGCGGTCGTCGTAGTGGCGGTCGTTGTGGCATCGGTCATCAGGGCGATCGTCACTGCGTCAAGTTGGGCAATGAGTGCCTGCATCCTCGTGGTGGTGGAGTCCTCGGATGAAGGCGGTGATGACCTCAGCTTCTGTGATGTTTGGAATAGAATTCCTCATCTCGGAAAAGTATTTGATGTAGCTACGGAGGAGCTCAGATGGCCTCTGGTAGATGTGGGTTAGGTCATGCTTGGTGCCCGGCCGAGTGCACGTAGCCATGTAGTTGTTGGTGAAGACCTTCTTCAGCTCTTCCTAGGATCTGATGGAGTCTAGGGCAAGGCTTCTGAACCAGTTCATGGCGGTTGGCGTGAGCATGACGGGAAGATAGTTCACCATGACACTAGAGTCTCCTCCGGCGGTGCGGACACCAGTGGTGTAAGCCTATAGCCACTGTGTTGGATTCATCCTTCCCTCATATGGCTCGACCCTAGTGATTTTAAAACCACGAGGCCACTGAAGTGTTCGGAGCACCCTCGTGAATGCTGGGGGCCCTTCAGGGTTGTCGGCGTCAGCGTCTGCAGCGTTGCCGACATTGAGTGGCTCAAGAGCTGAGTCCGGGTTACCGTACTCTTGCTCATACTCCTGGCGGCGGCGTACTTCTTCTTCATGGCGACCAAAGCGGCGTTCGTCGATACATCATCATGCATCTCAGAGATTGTTGAGGTGCACTCGGACATGCTAGTTGACCTCCTGGTCATGTTGGCGATGATGTTCAATGCGGTTGCCCCTAGCTCCGCCCTGGAGGGATTGCCTATCATCGTGGTGCTGGTCGGTGAAGCGACTTGGGCGGCGATCAAATCTTAGCGTAGCTGATCGGTGAATCGAGGTTGTGGAGTATGAAGGCCTCTGATCTTGGCGGATCTCATTGACCTAGCAGTGCACCACTTTGAGCATGGCGGTGACCTTGGCGACTTTCGGTGTCTGTGGGAGTCGAGCGAGCTCATTGGCGGCCACGGCCAGGTTGGTGCTTCGGGTCTTGTACACATCGTGGCCGTCGACATGAACAAACTCGTCGTCGAGGTTGCGTTGGATTTGGCGTGGCCTTCCTTGTGAGTCAAGCTGCTGCTCGTCCATCGCAAGGGCGACCTCGTTTGCTCGGTGCTGTGCTTGGTTGACGTTCCAGTTCTCATGGGCAGCGCGTTCCTCCTCGGTTTCGCCATTCTGAGGGGGTCTATTGATGCTGACGTTGAAGATAGAGCCACCACGAAGAGGAGGAAGAGGAAGTAGTTCAGTGGTGGTTTCAGTGATGGTCTCCATAGAGCCCTAGGACTCGAAGTCCAGACTCTCCTCTAGGATGGTTTGGTGGGATGCTCCGGGGCGTCGGCCGACGTGTAGCATGTTGACAGTCGGCGGAGGCTGGTCGGTGATCTGGTCGGCGAGAGGATGGACATCTCCAACCTAGTCGGCAAATTTGCCCTTTAGGTCATCCTGGTAGGCGGCGGTGACATTGGTGAACCCAAAGGGTAGGGCCGTAACCCCTGGAGTTTCCCGAGCAGCCTCTGATAGATCTAGATCGGAGGGTGGTCGGCGCTGAACTAGAGTGTCCAGAGCCGATTCGGCAATGGAGAGGCAATCGGCGAGCTTCTGACCAACCTGATCGATAGATGCGATCAGATCGTCATTGTTGATGTGCCTCCTCTGGTAGCGAGGAAGCGGGTGGCGAGTTATCGATGAAGGTGCTAGGGTGATCAGCGCAGAATTGATCTGCATCGGCTTGATGAGCTCTCTGACTCCATCAGCGTTGATGATCCATGAGATCGATCCGACCGTGAAGATCTGGCTAGGCTGTGGGAGGGACGAAGAGCCTGTGGAACGTACCATCTTGTTCGATATAGAAACAACATGCACACCCCTACCTGGCGCACCAACTGTCGATAGAATATCGTCGACAGTCCTCCGAGGGATATCCCATGAAGGTAGATTGATCGTCAGAGAGGCGTGTAATCAAGAACAAGAAGGCAACAGAGACACACGAGTTAGACAGGTTCAAGCCATCAGTATGACGTAATACCCTACTCCTGTGGTCTGTTGGTTTGTATTGGCTATTGTATGATATTGCGTGTGTAAAAGGTAATAAGGTAGGCAAGGATATTAATAAATGCATCAACAGTTTCAATCAACTCCTACAACTTAATGCAACAATATATAAACTCATATATATAGAAAGAATTGCTTTTATAAAGTAGGAGACTTAGAATGCTCCGGGGCTTGTCTCGTTCGAACGAACTAGGTTGGTGATCCACGCACTCCGGCAAGTCCTCTCCTTGCTCCTCTTCCTCTAGCACCTCCTGTGCCTGGACTTCTTGTGGATCTGTCCCAGTTTGCTCTTCCTGAACTACTACTAGTAACTCCTCCTACGATCCTGTATGATGCAGATGTATAAGTGCTAATGCATAGGTGCATCGGAGAGATGACATGTAATGATCATGATACATGAAATGTAGATGACCATGTTTAACTTCATTGGACATAGTAATAGCAAAGCTCTTCTACAAGGTAGTCAACGTCATCCAAGAACCTGTACTACTATCTACTACGATAACCACTGTACTAACATGCCAAATCACGACAGCAAACTAAGACGCTACAAAGATACACCAAAGAGAACATTATTAACTAAACTCGCATTAAAGAAGATCATTTGATTTCATTTTAAACTAGGGCTACACAGCAACATATATTTCTGGTGTTCATAAAAATCTGAGAAAATTACAGTAGCATAGTACTACTCTAAGTAGACTACC